GGCGACGAAGGCGGCTTTGGGACAGGCAGGGAGCTGGTGAGGGATGTTCAGCTCAGCTAACTTGGCCTGAACCGGCAGCATCACGACTGGCGTGGTCTGACCCGAGTGCCTTCCCCCTTTTTCCTGGGCTTTGAGGCGTTTATATAATTCTGCACAATGATAAAAAATGGGCCACGCTGTGTTCGTGCCTCGTGTTCGAGCACGCAGGCAGGGATTCTTGTTGCAGCCTTGATAAACGGGCAGCGATGGGCAGGAAATAATGCCCTGGCGAAGGATGGAGCCCGTCCGTCGCTGCCTGCTGCTGTCCCTGTGTCAGGGAGTTTTAATGATGGACAAAATTCCCTGGGCTGTGATCTGGGATTGCACCTGGGGAAGGCGATCCAGGCTTTGCTCCGGAAAGCACAGAGCACCGACAGCCCATGGGAACCAGGACTTCGGGGCAGCCCCGTGGTGGTGCTCTGGGAAAAGGCATTTTGTATAAGGACAGAGAGGGCAAAAAATGAGAGGGAGGGATTTTGGGGTTAAATACTGCCTGGGGACAGGCAGAGAGATGCTTCCTCCTGCTTGGCACAATTTTTGCCATCTTTATAAACACATAAAATTATCTTTGAGGAGTGTTACTGATGTCTACAAACAGAAAAATTGTAGATTTGGTTTGTCCCCTTGAGTCCCACGGAGGTAATGATGTTTTTTGACATAATTAGTGGTGGTAGATGCCTGGCTTGTGCCTGTGATGAAAGCTGAGCTAGCGTGGTTGACTTCTGCTTCTGGTGCTTTTATAAAACACTGTAATATATTATAAATAGGCTGTTAAAGACCAGCCTCGTTAGCGATCAGGTCCCGGATGCTATGGAGAGGCGGTTCCCATCGGCGTCCCGGAGCGCAGGCAGCTCGCACGGCCCGGGAGAGGCTGCCGGGATGCTCACGGGGCGAGCGCAGATGCGTGCCTGGGGAGAGCAAGGGGCTCTTGAACCGGAGATAGCTTCCCACCTAACGCCACCGCCATCCCGATCCCACCCTACGTGCAGATTGCGTGCCCAGGATCTGGGCTGCGTTTGGATCGATGCCTGCGGGGCTGCGTGTGCTGCCGGAGCCAGCGGTGTCGTGGGGCGAGGGCAGTGCGCGGGTGGATCTGCCCGGAGCGGTGCGTGGGCCTTGCAGCT